TAAACATTTATGTTTTCATGTTATAATTTGTGTTCATTCTAGAGTGAAAGAGGCATAAGTTATGTTTATTTCCTAATTTTCTATGCTGGTTGCGTGATTGGTCAAATCTACCAAACCGATACAGAGATTAATTACTGAAAATATAAAGCTTTCTCGTAAGAAATGTTTGATAACTATCTGGACATTATAAAGATTTCACATGTGAAATTTTAAAATTTTCTGATACATAAAAGTATTTTTAATCTTAAATTGAAAATTACTTTGCATGATAGGCAAGATGTGGAAAAAAAAGGCATGAAAGAAACATTGCATTACAAACCTTAAGACTTGATAAAAAATTATATATTTTGCATATGACATCATTTGTAATGTTTACTGATAATCTGCCAAATTTTTTGACATTCGCTAACTAATTTAAAAGTTATAGCATGAAAACTATAACAAGTGCAAAATGGTTACAAGGTTGGTCCCAGGGACTGAGCTCGTGCTGTTAGAAGTATTATTTTGTTACAAGTTACAGATTTTACTTGTGTATTTGAGAATGATAGCACCATAATAATGCTTAGAGAATAGACTGAAATAAAAAACTAATATCAAATTAAAATTTAATCCTAGGTATAAAAAGTAATTCAGAAAGTCACTAATGGCTATAGTGCATCAACATGAAAGAAACATATAAGAAGTGGACTGCATGATTATTGTACCTATATAACAGATTACATAAAAAATAGGTTTTGTTGTTAAGTTTAACGTGCTTTGTGTTACAGATGGCCTGTCTATATACACCAGGCAATTCACTGTAAGTTTTACATGCCATTTCTGGTTATTCCAGGCTACTAGATTAAACTTTTTTTTAGACTATGAAAGGAGTATAAGAAATAATTTATATATTTGTAATCAATTTTAAATCTTAAATTTGATTTACAGATTAGTTTATAGAATGATAATACTCAATCTGTCCCATCAATCATTTGAATCACTTACGTAGGTGAATCCTGACTGCTCACTGAAGTTGATCTCTGTAGATTCGCATCCACAGGTGAAGCTGGTCGAACAAATCCCTGAGCTAATGAGGCTACAGAAGCAATGGGTACACTGGGAGCTGGAATTACTGCAGAAGGAAAAGAATACCAATAAGCATTATTTGTGGCCATATTACAAAATCTGAAGTTTAACAAACCTTCAAAACCTATCAACACCAGTCACTCAACTAAAATCCTTTATACTTCTTGGTTAAGTGTTGTCCCATCTTTTATTATTAGATCATGTAGCCTATGTAAATATTTAATAACTCAATAGTTCCTGATGAATCAAAACTCAAGTCTACCAGTCAGTAAATCAGATAAATCATAATTCTAACCACATCTATTATATAACAAGACACCATATTATTTTCCCCAGATCATAAATTATTTTGTTGTTCCTATAAAACCTACGTTTTATACTTGATATTTGGCTGTTACTCTTTTCTTCCGTTACTCTTAAAAGCTCCTAACTTAAGCCCCTGAACTTTTCAAAGTTGCTTGCCTTCATTTAATTTTATTGTTTTATTGCTCTTTGAACCATATATGTATACAATCAGTAAATCACTGGGTGGGATAATGAAGTACATAAATAAGTCAGCTTACATCCCGTACATCTAACTACCATGTTTCTTGTACATTACACATGTAGCTTTCAAATATGAATTTTTGAAAATGAACAATAAGTAACTTGTTAGATTACTTTAAATGAAAATTGTAATTTTCTCATTTTCTAACTAACCTATAAATAGGTCAAAAAATTGTCATTACTTCTTAGAGTAACATCTTTAGTCCAAACACATCTTCTGATGTCAATTTATTAAATTTTATGGCTCAAATAAAACAGAGAATTACAGACATTTCTTAAAAGACAGAGGATATGGGAAAAGCATGTTAATGTGGGTTGAACAAATAGTGCTTGTTTGTTATAGACTTAGAGCAAAGCCACATTGGGCTATCTGTTGTGTCCACCACTGTAAAGTTACCACTGTCCCACCAGGGGAGCAAATATAGTGATAAACAAATAAACAAGAGGGTGAAAATATATATTCTAGCTTGTCAGTATCTACAGCACTTAGAACAATTTGAAACACTTGGAAGAGAAGAGAAAAAATCTATAAATAAAAAATTACATCACCAAGTCATATGACTATGAAAATTGCAGATTGTGAATCTATCAAATCATGTATCATATTATGTTGTTTTCTGAAGGTAGAACTGCCAATTTCTCTTTCAGTACAAGTATCAATTAGTATCAGTTTTTTCCCTAAGTGCTTCCCACATCTGTTCAAGTTCTCCCAATTCTTTAGTCCAATCTACAGAAGCCAGATCATGTCTCATTCCATTAAAATTGGCTTTCTTGAAATTTGGAATCTGGGAACTATTCTATTTCAATTCTACATGTAGTAAAATCCCAAACCTAATAATGCAATGGTTGTTTCTACTTAAATGCTCACCAACCACAACTCTATCATTTTCCCATCAGATGCTAGTATTAAAACTAATAGAGCTTCTTCTCTTGTAGGTTCCATCACCAGTTGATGTATAAAAGTATCCTGAACAATTTCCAAAAACCTATCCCCCTCACTGTCAAACTCAAATTTTCCCAATCAATACCCTTGAAATTAGAATCTCCCAAATAACAACATCTTTTTCAGCTACCATTCTGATCTCATTATACAATTTCTCATTACCTTCCACATTCTGACCTGGTGCTCTATAACAATTTCCAATAACAAGACTTTTCCTTTTACATTCACTAACTCAACTTCAGTGCTATTTTCTTTAATATTCTCTAACTCAACAGGACACAATTCACTCCTCACATATAAAGCTACTCCTTCCCCTTTTCTCAGTAATCTATCTCTAGTAAATAATCTGTACCTCAGTATTTCAAAAACATTTCATCAAAATCCAACCAAGTCCCAGTGATACCCATAATATCAAAATCCTCAGTTTCCATAACTACTTTGAATTCATCAATTTTATTTCTAATACAATTAGTATTACAACAGTAACAATTAATCATAGGTTTTAAATTACATTCATGTTTTTTGCCTGCTGTATACGTTTTCCTGTCAATTATATTTCCTATTTCACTAATATCATAGCCCTCACCTCTGCCTAGCCCTAGTTTAAATCTACTGCTACAGCCGAGTTAATAGCCCTTGCTAACATGCTAGCCCCTGCCTTGTTTATGTGAAAGATGGGCAAAGGAAGAAACCCTGGCGGTCGAGTAAAAGATAAGTGGGAGAGGAGGTACGTATGTATTGGAATATAAAGTTTGATTTTTTTTTATTAAATTTTAAGAGAATATGAATATTTAACAATTTCCAAATTTTTACAGCAAATTAAAAAAACAGAAAATATTTTTAATAAAAGAACAAAGGATAAAACTATGTCATATAAGTAACTTGTAACGTCACAGTCAATACAGAAAAGAACTGTGTGAAGCAATTTATTTCATATATTTTAATCATTCTTTTGATTAATTTTTGATGATATTGGAATTAAGTATGTTGTTTGTATAGAGAAATCTACAGATAAAATATACAACATTACTGAAAAAAAAAACTTGATGTTCATTTAGGAGGTTCTAGAAATTGCGAAATTAAAATATAAAATTTTAAAATGAAAGTATAAATTATCCTTGTCATGAAATTCACATTTCACACACATACTTCAAAAATATATCTGATATTTTGAACACAACAATTTTTGTGAAGAAACACATAGTAAATTCAGAATTATAGTAATAGGAAATTCTTCAATACAGATTCAGTTCACTAGACAAGCAACACTGCTAATGGTAGATGTGATACATGCTCTTGTTGGCTTACAGGTGAATACAGACCATAAAATCAAACTATTGAAAACAGATAGTTGAGAATACTATCGGTGTTTGTTATCAATTCTAATATTTAACACAGACACATTGCTTACGGGACATTTATAATCTGTTGATAGTTCCTAGTTGTGGTTTGTTTTCTTTGTAAGCATCGTAGAAGCATCTATGCGGAAAAATAGCCAAATTCATAGTGTGCAACCAGTAGCCACACAATTCATATTGTAGCATATCGATGATAATACATCCATAACCGATACATGTGAAATAAAAAATTGCATGTATCTCTCAAAAACTTGTGTATTTTACACAGATATGCTTGTTAGCTGGAGCACTGATTTTGATTTTACACTTCCGAGAATGACATGACGGTACGTCAAAACATTTATTATTTTAACATGTAGAATGTAATTTTAATACTGTTGACTGTCTCGGAATAAAGTTTTAAGTTGTATACTTGAAAAACATTTGTCATTTGTGTTTTAGTTATCTATAGAAGAAGCTTCACTGGTGAGTGTTCCAAACATATTTATGTCTCAGCAATTTAAAAAAGTATGAGGTTCACATCTTATATTGTGGCCTATAAAGGCATAGTTATTATATCTAATTGGTTGTAAGTATGAACATCCTAGTTTTTATGTAAGAATATTCTGAAAAGGAGAAACAAATATCAGGTGTCATGTTATACAGAAGAGTGATTAATGGATTTTTTTTAAAAAGTGAGACGTTAATTGATAGTAATTTGTTAATCAAAATATGAATGTAACCCTGTAAAAAAATTTATGACATGAACTCTAACCCTCCCTTATGCACAGGTTTAAAGAGGTAACCTGCATCTTGAGAAATATGAACTACAGAATTGTTTTATCCACAAGATATTTTATTATCAATATTTTATAAATGTATGTTAATAAAATTAGACATCTGTTCACTTACTACCTGCAAAAGATTTCTATTAAAAAAGCTTCGCCACCAAGTCATTTTTATTCAAACATTATAACCAGAAACATACAACTTATTTGTTTGGTTTGAACTTGCATTATAACTGCCCGTGTGAAAATTTTCATGTGTTTCATGCAAGACTTTGGAAATAACACAACTGACAATGTGTAAAGGTCCAGTACTGCTCAAGGAAAATTTACATTGTGTAGATTCAAAGATGGATTTTATTTTGGTGTCAACATTTGCCATATAAGTTACTTTCTCTCAGACAGATACATACATCAGTAAGTTTATTGAAAAAAATTTTAATATATGACTGTGTAATCCATAAATGTGTTTATTAAAAAGACTGTTCTTCTGACTGATGATTTAACCAGCATTGTTGTTCATGTACAATGATTGAACTATGTACATCTGCTCATAAATTGTCATAAAATGCTACACAACTTTAATATACATAGTAGGGCCATTTGGTATATAAAAAATACACTCTAGCAAAGAAATCATGATGGCATAGTCTTAAACCTGTATTTTTTCAAAGCTTTAGCTTCTGTGGTAAACTGTAAGGAAGTTAGTTGACCCACACAGAAAAACTTTCTGCTTGTGGAAACACAGCAAGTAGCTAATGTGAATACAGACATATGAATTTGCACAATGTGATGATGCTCCAATATCACAAATGAAAGTTAAAAAGTAGGTATCCATATCTTAACAAATTATTTATCATCATTCAGTAATAAGCTGTACATCAGAAACATTGAAATGATCTACAACAACTTATGACATAACTGAATTATAGCCTAAAATGTAAATAAGGCTTCTTTTTTCCCCCCATAAGATTGTTTTAAAATCTTGTATATTTAAACTTAAGAAAAATATATTTTAAGCACTACTAAGAGATTAACAGAAAGTAGTTATAATGCTTGAATCTTACCAGGTAACACTCCTTGACCAATTCCCATACCACCATTCACAACTGAAGGTCTCACCTGTGAGGCAGTTGACATAGGAGGAACCATTCCCATGGAGGAAGGGGGAGGAACTATATTACACAAGAATAAAAAAATAAATACAATCACAAACATATGTAAAATCAAGATAAATTTTAACTTTACACATGGAATATGTTCTTACAAGACTTTACTGTGACAGTTTCCAATATTGCTTCAATGCATAAAATGGACTTTCATGAAATTTTACTGAAAAGGAGAGCCAATCAACTGAATACAAGTAAGTATATCTGGGAGCTTAAATTGGATAGTTGACTTTCTATAAACATTCATTGTGTAGATTACTATCACATCTAATAATCAATTAATAAAAATTACAATTAAATCAATTCTTTTGCCACTGACTTGGTGTATTACACTGACCATGACCTCAAAGTGACAAATAGTTTCCATACTATAACTTTTAAAATGTTTTGTACATCTTCACAAAATTTTTAATAAATAATACAAGTATTTCATAGACAAAAAAATCAAAATTTATAATTATGTATTTTTACTAAAAAATTTGTTTGTGAGTATATGGAGTCAGTGTTGACTGCTCCAAGTGTGAAGCAATTTTCTTCATCTTAAAATTTTCAAATTTCATTTGCATAATCTCTAGAACCTCCTAAACAAAGTTTTTTTTCAGAAAAACTATATTTTATCTGTTATATTATCTACCCTAACTTTAGATGGGATTGTTCAATTTTTCTGACCTCATAACCACCATAAAACTTTAGATGTTCAAAAACACGAAATAAAGTGAGTAGTACTGTTCTATCCTCTTTAGTATTGAACAAGATACTTCCCCTAAGAGTTTCTACTTCTCACCTTTTCATATGTATTTCCTATGTTTATTTTACTATTAGCAGCTGAAATAGAAACCTGTTAATCATACAGCAATGAATCATGATTACTGCCATTTGACTGTTTACAAGACACTTTATAACACCATCAGTAAATAAACATGTGCAGCACAATTATCATAACTTTCCCACAGCATTTATCATAATCCTGTCTTTAAGAACACAGGGGTAAAGGATTTATTGGCTTGTTCATAGTACAGTGGTTGCAACAAGACATGTTTATGATATGGCTCTGTAAAAAGTCCAGGCTGATAAGAGAAGAGCATTTAATTTACCCATCCTTGGTCTGCACACCCCTAATAATGTGGTTCCTCGTATGATGCTGAAAGGAGTTATTGTGTCTCAATTAAAAAGTATTTTAACTGTTTGTAACAACAGCATGGTTTTAATGGATAATGTTATATTATTCATAACTAAATTAGAAAATAATGGATATAAATACTGGCAAATAAAAAAGTTTTTGCAAGTTTTGATAATAAATTTCAAAATATTTTATTAGGTAAATACCTTTAATATGCAATTTAAATTTATTTAGTATAGCCGCTACTGGAAGGAATAGCTTCAAGTAGCTGGGCTTGTCTCAGCTATCCAGTGCTATATTTGAATAATGTGACAATACGAACTAAGGTAAGTCTTGTAGTTCTTTAAGATCTCTTTCTTAAATAAGTCATTTTCAGAAAAAGGTGGAGGTAACATATATTAGAATTATTAGGGTGGTATTTATTCTACTTTAAGTATCTTTTAGGACTTTTAAGGGTGGAGGATGGTAGGCATAATTTAATAAAAATATTAATTAATTTTTAGTTATTTTTCTTAATACATAACAAATAAATAAAAAAATATATATAAATAAACAATGATTCCGAATACTTAAGATGTTACAAAATTGACTCATAATTGCTTATCATACATGCTAAGCCTTGCCATAAGCCTCATTTATTCTCTAAAGTGGAAAAGAAAGAGGATTTAATTTTTGTAGATTTAAAAAATGCATTTGAGAAGACCAAAAAATTATGAAATCACTATATTGGTACACATAAAACACTAATTTATCTGGCTTTCTAATTAAGTTACATGCAAGTTAAAAACAACATTTCTGTTCATAGAAATTAGTTACACAATAGATTTCAACATCTCCTCTCAATCGCAAGTTTCCCTTTCAAGTCAATTACAAACGACAGTCAGATTTACATAGTACAGAAATGTGCTCTTTCTACGAGTTATAAACATTTACTTAAGAAAAGCAGGAATGAACAAACAAGAAGTTTCAAAAGAATGGTGTAGTGGGCAGGGCTACCCACAGAGGTTTGCAAAATATTTGGTAACCATTACAGATGTTGTATGGTAGTCATAATATAAATTGAGCAATAAGACAAAAAAACATGCCATTTGGCACAAAAAAAACATGTGGCATTTATTTGAATCCTTTTGCCCCAGGTATCCTTTACTACACATGCTGAAAGTTTTAGTAAATTACATTCTAAATTTTATTAAACTACTTTTTGTTTATTTTATACCAATTTGAATAGCATAAAATTGTAGCTAATAATCCATATTTTAATAGTAAACAAGTTTAAAGTTCCTAATTCTACAAGGCAATATTTAAAAAATCCTGAATTTCTCCTAGTGTGACACTTGTAACATATTTTCTCTAGGCATCTTGTCTTCTCTAATTTACCCACCATTCCTTGAAAAAGTACTAAATTAAACGTAAATTACTTTGTGTAGAATTGTCATTGCTTAAACAAACCATAATTTTTATAGCCTTCAATTTTGTTAGGTTACAGAGCTATTGAATAGAAAATCAGACCACTCCTACCATACCCACCTGTCACATTCTCTCTTTCAGGATTTGTTAATAGTTCTCTTACATTTAATTATACATTACCTATAACCATAGAAAGTCAAGATTTTCATTTATCAAGTGATGTCTCATATACCTTTTTGTTCTGAACATAATATCATTAATTTCACTCAAAGTACAAGCAAAGAACGTGTGAGAAACTTAACAACTAGCTTTGATGAATTTGTAAGAGCTCTTGTTGCATAGTTAGAGAGCCAGAAAATTTTGAGTTAAGGAAAACTGTCTACTTTTTTGCATGTTATTAGTCAATGTTCTTTGGTGCATTATTTAATTAAATAAAAAGTATTTAGTGCAGTAGTACCATTAGTATAAAATAAGCTTTGTCAACAGCTGACAGTAAAAACAAAGAAAGAAAGAAGACCCGAGTAACTACTCTATTTCTTGTTTTTAATCTGTATTCTTTATTATTATAAAAGTAACTAAAATGTAAAGATTGATACTAAACTTAATGACCTAAATTCATGAAATAGTAGTTCAATAAAATTTTGAATGCTAGTCAACAAATGAGATGACATGGCCTTTCACCCGTGACCTGCCTCAAAAGGGTTAATAAATGTTACAAAATGAGGAAATCTCCAACTTGTCATTTTTGATGTGTAGAGCAAGGCTAGTTCTAAATATCTGTTGTTAGTAGTAAGTTATATTCCTTTACCTTTTTTGCCCTTACCAGGCCTGTATACACCTTTCAGGTGTCAAGCACATACATGCATATCAATTTTAAAATTTCAGTAAAAATAATAATTCTAACTCTATTTCAACTAATTTTCATTCAAAAATATTTTATAATTGATATTTGTAAAAACAAAACCTGGGGGCCACAACTCTTCCTTTCACTTCATCATAAAAAGAAAGCAATCACACACTGAGAAAATAAAAAAAAAGTTTTAAAGTTTAAAGTACTCTCTCAAAAATTAATAAGAATGGTGCAAACTAATATTAGAAATGACTCATAATATGGGCATTACACATAGATTAAATGACAACTATTTAGTAGATTTTAATCAGCAGAAATAAATAGGAGTATCATGCCAAAGTTCATAACTTTCATATAAATTTATGAAAATCATATCAAACTCATTTTTTTTACTTTTCAGTTTATTTCTCCATATTATGGCTATTATATCAAAAATGTTTACATGTCATTTCTAATATTAAACACCATTCTAGGAAAAATTGAAAAAGTTTTTCAGCATTTTAGTTATTGCTGCATAATACACCATTTCCAAACATTTTTAGCAAGACCATGCATGTAGCTCCAGTTATTAGAGATAGTACTAAACAACGCTAAGCAGTAAGAGTCCTAGACCTCACTAACATAATCACCCAAATCTTGACCCATAACATCCCAGCAACAATTGTTGAAGTATACCTGCTTTATCTAATTTGGGAAGTTGTATTACTCAATCATTTCTGTGGTAAGTGGAAGATTTAATAAATCCATCAATATTTCACACACACCAGAAAGTTATTTTTCTAATTACATTATATAACCTAAAAAATTACAGTATAAATGTTTTCAAAACTTAAGACCTCCAGAATGTCTACGTCAAGCTAAGTATGTGCATAAATTAAAAAATAAAACGATGTAAAAAAGTGAAATTCAAGCTAGCCCTTACACCTTTGAAGTATTATATACACACTTAAAACAACAATATGAGGTTATAGTTTTGTTGCTAAGTGATGCAGACAAACAGAGCATTACCAAAACACAACTGGCTTTTATATGTATATTAGATTGCATTAATAAAACTCATACTAACATGTCATGAGACTGAATCAGAAAAATAAAAGTTTCATTTTCCCTATATGTGTGTGGAAAAATAAAGTTTATCTACTTTAAGAGATGCGTCTAGCATACGACCCTCCTTTAGAAAAACAAAACTACTTACTCATCCCAACAGAAGTCATTGGACTGAAAGTTGAAATTCCAGAACTGATTGGAATAGTAGGATTTCTGAGACTTGGTGGTAATGTTTTTGGAAGTTCATAACCCTTCAGTTTGAGTTGAATCAGGTGCATTGCTACTGCAAATTCATGTTGATCAATCTTCCCATCAGCATTCATATCAGCTAATGCCCTATTTAAATTAAACTTTCAGACCTTAATGAATAATATAGTTACAAACTGTTCATATAACTGTTCTCACTATAAAAATACACAAGACACAAGATTCCAAGCTGAAAAGAGATGATTATTTTTTTACTTAATTATGTTTTTTTTTCATTTTTACTATTTATTTTTATTAAATTGTTTTTAAACATTAAGCGGAGCCTCATACTAATAGTTCAAATTGTTATGTCTGTACATCCTACTGTTTACTTTCAAATACTTTAAGCCATTGCTAAGTACTAAGAAAAAGTGCAACTTTCCAAATCCAGAGAAAACGTAAGAGGTCCCACTTTCTGATTCCAAAAGCAACAGAGAAGCAATGTACATCAACATTTACTTTACCAAAAATATAGGAGGGCATGCAAAAATTCAAACAACAATTAACTTACCAAACCAAAGCCAATACTTGAGGTGGAAGTCCTGATTGTAAAAATAAACTTTTGGCTTGCTGTCCTATTAAAAACAAGAAATATAATGATATCTAAATTCATTTTAAAACTAAATTTCTATCTTTTATAACATATTCAAATAATATAGAAATATTCGTAAAATTATAGGATTTACAGCAAACCACAATTAAAGTAACTCAACAGACTAAGTGCTTTCAGAAAGTACATCTTCCTTCTTCAGTGGTAAATGGAAATAAGCTTTAATCATCATAGTAGAAATACATGACCAAATTGCATGAAATTTTGAACAAACTTACTACACAGCATCTAACTGTCTCTTGAAAATATTTATAATTTAATTTTTCTATAATTTTTATGTGGTGAAATTTCCAAAATTTTGTTGATAGACTGCTTTGAAAAATCTTTACAGATATGTTCTTTTGCTTAAACTTTTAATATTTTTGGTGTAGATCAGAAAGTTCTATTTCATATATCCAAAAAGTTTCAACTTGGTTGATATTCATTAATGCATTTCTTTTAAAGCTTTATTTTTGAATGCAGTACCCACCACTTTTGGCTACAAATCATAAAAACCACTATAGGAACTGACAAAGGTTTACCCATAACCTTTACACAATCTTCCAAAATAGCATCGCCATTATCTTTGCCAGGACAGGTAATTTTTGCTGAGAATATTATTAGTTAAGATCAATTTATATCAAAAATAGTTTCTTCTCAATACATTATAAGTTTCCTTATGTGTGAGTATTGTTTGAATATGATAAACTTAGTAATAATATTCAATATGCTAGGATTTGAGTCAGACTATTTTGTTCTCACTTACTGCACTCTCTCTAAACATAACTAGACTTATTTGGTGTTCTTGTAATAAAATAACATCTCTATAGCTTTTAAACAGATATATTTCAACATTAATGCATTTTCAGGAATGAAAAAACATGTACAAAAAATATTAAAAAATAATTCACAGATCTGTGATTTGTTCCCAAGTCTTGTAAATTTCACATTAGATTTCAGTGTTCTTTCCATAAGCTATGTTTAATCATTTCCCAACAAAACAATAAATTACTTTTTTTTACCTCACTCTACACTGATGCAAATAGAATTTAAAGATCTGCTCTATCCAATGGTATTTAAACTTTGCCTGTACCTATTTTCAAAACTTCATTAGAAGCTGTATAGATAACATTCTGTAAAATCATAAAAGGGTGGGAATGAAAGCTTGCATTAACCCTTTCAAAACGGGTACCCCTTTAAACTCCTTTCTGCACAAGTCAACAAGTTGCATTCAAAATTTAATTAAACAGCTTTACTATCAATGTACATCAATGAAATTAACATTATAATATATGTTATAATTTGAAGTTTTATGTTATCTAAGTTTTAATACCTTTATTGCAACATAAACCTTTAAAAAAATACTTAAACTTCAGTTTTGGTCTCACATGACATTCAAGTATTTACAAATCTAACTTTCAGATTCTAAACAAGTATGTCTACACAAAATACTACATTTACTGCACTATTTATAAATATGTTCCAAAGTTCTTTGGCTGAGTTCAGTGGACACAAGAAGTCCATTTTTCCAACCCCTGACGAGTGCCACACCCACCTTCTATACTTAGACTTGAGATTTAACTAGCATATTTTACACTATAATCTCCCAATTGTTATTTTAAAATGGTACACAGTTTTCCTCATTAGGCACATGTAACTGCTAGTAGTAATTATTTCCTGTTTTGTCCACAATAGCTTTATATTTTAGTTAATTATGTATTACTTATGTTTGAAAATGCATATCTGAAAGGTTTAAAATTTTTTTAATATAATTCAATTTTTGATTCAGTTCTCGAGACTTACAATATTACGAGTGCAAGAATATTTTGCCGAAGGCTTATCTCAGCTAAAAATACTGTAATATGCCCAGAGTGCACCTGTTGGCATGTGTCGTAAAGAACAGGAGAGGAAAATAAAACATACGAGAAAAGATAAACCTGAAATTTTGAATATAACAAAAAGAAGATATTTTAAGATTATTTGACAAAAAATTAAAAGGTATGTACATTTTTCTGTTTCTTAATTTAAAACATTTCATTGCATTGTATGTTGATGATAATATCTACAATTAGTGATATTGTAAAGAAAGTGAAATTAAAACAAATGTTTACCTTAAAAAAAATTGTTCATTTAGGAGGTTCTAATAGTTATGCAAATCAAATCTGAAACTGTTAGATAAAAAAAAAATTTAACTTGAAATGAAGATCACTTTGCACTCAAACTATTCAGAACTTGAGTGCAAATAACTATAAAAAATACGTCTTCTATTGAAAATATGTTAATTAAAATAATATCATTCTTTGTGTATAAAATATTTGTAATCTTAACAAAATTTTACCAGTTTTTTGTGAAGATACATTAAGAAATCCAAGTTTCACATATCCTTCCCCAGACAGGTTCATATATCTTACATGAACCCATTGTGAAAAGGTTAATAAAACCAAACAAAGAGAAGAAAAAATCACATGAGAATAGTGGTTTTCACTTAAGTTGAAATTTTATTTGCAGGTACACTATCAACACCTAAAAGGTATTCTGAGGTCAGACAGGGTTAACTAACCCTTTTTAGCATCTTTGTTATCTACAACAGTCCACAATTAAAATGGTAAGAGTGATTTACAAAAACATTTCATGTAAAAATAGTTATTTCCATTGTATAATAAGAAGTATAAATAATTTTTGTTTCTGTAAGCAGTCATTCAGTTTTACAACTTTTTACATTAAACATTTTTTTCAAAACCTTTAGTCTTGATATTAAAACCATTTTTTCAAAAACTGCTTTGCAATAGTAACAGTTTCATAAGCTTCAGTAGACAAGTTTAGAGCATAATGTTTAAAATTTATGAAGGGAAAAGTACTGTGTACCAAAGCAGAAAAAATTAACCAATCAACAGTGAAAATGCTGCTTTTGCAAACTTCTTAATTTTTAAAGAAACAATGCACTAGAGTAGTTTATTTTTCTTATCTGATGATGAAAATATTAAATAGTTATTCTAATAATGCCAATTAAAAATATAGATTTTATCTTTAATGTACAATTTACTCTGTTAAATGAAATGCTTTATTGGTTACATATATATTTATTAGACATTAGTACAAAGTAGTAAGTACAAAGATATTTTGAAAGTGAATGTCTAAATACTTAAAACAAATAATACCTTTTTTACAATGTTTACTATTTCAACTATGTCAACAGATAAAACATCTTTCATGGTTAAATTTCTATGTATCAAAACATCAAATTTACCATTTCTGTCCTCATTTTTTGGCTGTGGTTAATAGAACAGCAACAAGGTATATGCAAAGAAAATATTTCCAATCTTCATCACTCATTTGAAAAAATACAGATTTTTATTTCATCATGTATATTAAGAGTAAAAACAACAGTTTTTGGCACGATGAACAATTAAATTCTTTAGTAGATATTTTAGCTGACTACTTTCTGTAACATAGTTACCATCATCATGGCTAGTGACTGTCAGACTGACCATACTACATAGTTCATTTCATGCTACATACTTTAAAAACTTATTACCTGTAGAGATCATAGGCTCTATTCTGTGTAATACTTGCCTCCTCTACCAGGTTTGGGTCGTGTCTTATCTGCATAAACAAACTCAGTCTAGGCTTGAATGTGTGCTTTTCATGCTTTATCAGTGTTACTATTCCACCAACCTAGGGTATTCCTTCTGCACAAGTTATTTAAGTTTATCTGATGGTGCTTGAGGGTTTGAGTACTGTCAAAAAGCTTGGAATCTTTGTAACGGGTTTCTAACTGTAAACATTATGTCCCTTATGTCAAGCTGACACTGAAGGTTAGTTTAGCAAAAAAAAAAAAAAAGATTCATTAAATAGTGCCTGTCACCTTAAGTGTTCAGTGGTTCTTGCTGATTCAATGAAATTCAGAAGTATATGATTGGTGGCTATACTGTGGAGAACAAAGTGTAAACCTTTACCATTAATGTTTCTGCCTGCATCCCAAGTGAGATGTCTGCACTAAGTCTCTTACTGCAAGATACATATGAGAGTTGTTTAATTTTAATCATGATCTTCTGCTACTCTTCAAGTACACATTGGTGATTTTGATTATTATAGAAAACTTCAGTTGAGCTATCTAGATGGCTTATAGTTTGCAATGGTGATTGTTCCACTCATAACAGCAGATGCTGTTGTTGTATCAAACTACAATGGCCATCCCAGCCTTTGGATCAACGTGAGGTATAAAGCTAAAGCCAATGAGAGTAAACTCCTCAGGATCTGAAAATTTAATCTCTTGGAAAAGTATGATGTCATAAATTCAGAAAACTTCTCAGGGTGGTAACTGCTTCCTCTGACATTACAGTTGCCCATCATAATGTGAGATTGGCAGAGATTGATACATTTTTTATGCACGCATTGTTTACCAGCTCAATATTTGAGCCTCAATTTCCTTGTTCTTCACTGGGCATCAGAGATCCCAACTGAGTACACAATCTCTTTTGTTCCAATGGTTGCTATACCATCCTAATGTTGCACACAACTAGTCTCAAAGTAGTTAACACTAGAACTAATCTTACCAGTAGTTTAGCACCTGTCTGAAACTCGTGTCTGTTTGTTGTTGTTTTTCATTTTTAGTTAAGCACAAAGCTACACAATGGGTTATCTGTGCTCTGCCCACCAAGGGGATTTAAACACAGATTCTAGCATAGTAGACTCATGTCTGAACATACAATAAAAAGAATTATGCTTTTGGGCACTCTTTTTTATTTACTGTATCATAATTTGTAGACAATACTTTAGCCACTCACTGTTCAGGATTCCTATACCTAGCCCACTTCACTCAAACAAAGCAGACAATTGAAAGTGGGCCAGTAGCATATTAGAATGGGACTTCCATTCTTGAGGAGAATGCACACTATCAGACAGAATATATAGATACCTTCCAACCATCAAGATACCCCCCTACTCAGGACCTTAAATTAATCACTCTTGCTTAAAAATAACAAC